TATCGCACCTCTCATTGAACAATGTCGTTGGAAGACGAGAAGATGCCTCCGATGCCTTCATTGATGAGAAGACGCTATGCGATGATATCGGGGCTTCACACAATGGCTTTGCAGTGCCACAGTTGATTGGATTTGATTTTGAATGTCCACAATGATGCCGCTTCGGATGCAATCGATGGGATCTGGTTTTGGATGGTGTCGCAGTGCTACAATCGATTGGATCTGATTTTGAATGTGCGTGATGATGCCACTGGGTCTACAGTCAACATGATCTGGTTTCAGATAGTGTTGCAGTGCTCTCAATCAATGGGATCTGATGAGGTGGAAGTGATGTATGGTTGTGGTGGTGGTGGACCGATGGTGCACTTCATCACCACCAAAAACCACCATCAACAACAAAATAAACTCTACCACCACAACGACGGTCAACAGACTCCACGACATCACTAAGATCGCTATTACCACTCGGTGATGGTGAGTGGTCACAAATGGTGGTGATGATAGTGGTATTATTTAGTTGATTGTAACCAATAAATTGGTTAATGTGTGACCAATAAAGTATATAATTTGTGACAAATAATGTGTGATCTAAAACTTTGCTAGTTGTTATGAATAATTTGATAATTTTTGATCAATTAATTTGATATTTTGTGGCCAATAAATAATATGTAACCTAAAAATTTGAATCGTGACCTATAAAATTTGTGAGGTGATCGATAAATAAATTGTGATCTATAAATCTGTTGATTTGTGACCGATGAATAAATTGACCTATGAAATTTTTATGTGTAACCTATAAAATTTTTTGTTTGTGATCGAGAAATAATTGTGACCAATGAAATCGATAATTTGTGATTAAATAGTATAGAATTTGTGCTCTTAATATATTTTTAATTAATTATTTCATAAAATAAAATTTAATTAATATCCGATTTTTGAAAATTTAAACCCCGTTCCTTAGTTTTGAAATGGATCCTAATTAATTTTTTAGATATGAAACTTGGAAAATTACAAAAAATCAGGCATTTAATTTTTCAAATTCAAAATTAAAGTCTGAATTTTATTTAAT